AAAGTTAGAGTTTACTGTATTCGCTTATTGAAGCTATGTGAGTCTCTTTTTATACCGTAGCATCCGTTGCTAAATTTTCTGTCCCGAAGAAAGCCGCTGTTGTGTGCCCGAAACGTTGGCAAATGCTTAATGAATGTGTTGTGACAGCAGCCTGTCTTTGCAAAGAAAACAACTGAGTCGAAAATTTACAAGAGTTCTTGTGGTAAACTCAAAATTAACTTTCGAAATTAAAACATGAATATTTTATGTACAGAATAGCTGTAGTTATGACAAAGGAAAGAGATGGCCACGGATTAAGAACGTCTGAGTATCAGTAAAAGGCTCCTGCTGAAGTGAGGGCCTGGAAGTGGCGCAGGAGCCCGCTCCCGTAAGTTGAAACTGTGATGTTGCCCGGTACTCGTCATTGATACCTATTCGTAGCCAAAACCTCATAGTGCACCACCTTACTGAATCGTTTGGGTTGTATGAATGTTGAGGCAATAACGCTTTCCTAATGGACTGCTGTACAACCATTTGGCAAGAAGCTCTCAAGAAATGCAGAAAACCGTGGAATAGATACAGCATACCGCATCGATCTGAAAAGCACTCACAACTCGATAAATGACCTGACAGTCCTGACAGTCGAATTACTTGACCAACAATGCAGGAAGAGCGAATGACAGTAAATATCGACGTATTCATTGCGTATCCCCAAGGAGGACAAGTCGGATGAATGATTTGTAAAACGAGAGGAGAACAAACAAGTTTAGGAGCCAAATCATGAATGATTGATTGAACGAAAGCGCCTCCTTTATACATGGCTTTTTTATCCACTGATAAAAATATGAGGAAAATAATTTTTACGTAGATGTAGATTTAGTATGCGTGAAATGACGCAGAAAGTGATCGTTTGTATAAAAGAAATTCACATGAAAGCGCCACTGGTGATGACTGTAACAGCAGTGATAATTTTCTAGACATCTGCAAGAAGAGACTGAAGCATGTTGATCCAGACCAATCTTTCTTTTGCTCTGAATTAGATAAGATAATATGCAGCATATTTTCCAGAGAAACGTTTTACTTGAAAATTGAAGTGCGTCTTATTGGACTGGAAGAAAAACAGTCATTTCAGCCTGACCTCTTGTGTACCCCATTCCTTAGTGTTCATAACAGTTTTAATTAGATTATTTGAATTCTCTCTGCGGTTATTAAGTTTTTTATCGCCAAAGTTTTCAAAGGGCTTACTCTGCATGTAAATTTTATTAGACAAACTTTTGACGTTTTGGACCGAGCTGGATTCATTTTCAGGGGGTATGTAATGACTGTTACAAAAGAAATGTCAGCAATTCACGCAAATCTCATTGCAGTCCTTCTCCCAGTGTGCCTAACTGTTGGCCATCTGGCACGTCCCTGAGTTGCCGATAGAACGACCTCCAGATATGGAGGTTAGCTGTGATAAATAAATAGTTGCAGACAGGCAGCGGTGAGATCACCGGGCGTGGTTGAGTTCGATCGTTAGAGAAAGTCACAACGGCCAACAAAATTCTGATGTCGAAGCATTAGCGGCCGATTCTTTGAAGAAGAAGTCACCTTTTCACCGCTGCCTTGCGATTTGACGTCGGTTCGTCAAACGCTAGAAACAAAAACTTCGATTTAAAAAAAAACCGGAAAGAACTTGGGAACCCATCTGTATGGAATCCCAAGCCATCATCAGCCCTACCAGCGGATGGTAAAACTTAATGCGCTATTACAGTACCAGTAAGGGGCATCAGTACCTCGCGCGTCTCTCGACCCTTTTCATGAAGTCGGATCGGTATTCGACTGACGAGAGGCGGCTTAGAATCCCAGATGAAATTCAGCCATCCGGTAAACAGACCCTGAATTCCCTCGCCGTTTGCACCTACAAGCACTGGGGAGACATGAAACGTTAAACCAACTAGTGGAAGAAAATTCAGGGATGGCCTACGACATCCCTGGCCCGAATGGTATCTGCAAAGAGGATAGTTTGATTTGGCTGGAAACAGAAGAGGGCCAAGGAACATATGAGGAATCATATTTGTAATCAGTAAAATGTAGTCTTTCAGTACCGTCTCTTGAATGGACATGTTACAAAAACTGGACATACTGTACTTCAAGTGAACAAGAAGACCTTGAAGATCGTCCAGACCTATGCTCCCACAAGTACAGCCGACGAAGAGGAAGTTAAAAAATTCTATCAAGAATTGGAATTCGCAATGGTTCCAAAGTCCACGTATGCCCTGTCATAGGAGACTTCAGTTCCAAGGTCAGGCGAGAAGGGTCTGGTGAAAAGTTCGGCAGGTACGACACCGGAGAGAGAAATAAACGAGCAGATCAGCTTGTGACCACGGCAGAAGAAACGAAACACATAGTTCATGCAGAAGATCTAACAGGAAGAGAACGCGAATCGCTTCAAACGGGGCGATAAAGAGCGAGATCGACTTCGCCCTGTTCGATAAACGCAGTATCATCAGAGACACGGCAGTAGTGTCGTCGTTTAACGCTGCCAGTAACCACATACTGGTGCGGGCCAGGCTCACGTTCGATGAGAAGATCGAGAGAAAGGCACTGCAGATGGCGAATCGCAGACAACGACAGAAAGTAGTCGATGATGCGATGCTCCAAGCGCGTAGTTCAAGTGCAGACTGGAGCCTGAAAGGCAGCTGCTACGATGGCTACGAGAAGTTCGCAGAGAAACTGAGGCACTGCGTAAGGTCAACCGAAGTGGCAAAATTAAACAGAGCGAGAGGAAGGATCTCAGAAGAGGCTAAGAGTTTGTTGATGAAGCAGGGAAAGATGTAGAGAGATGGAGCTGACACGGTTGACTATTCTCTTCTTTGCAAGCTCATTAGACCGAAGCTGAAGGAGAACATCAACATCATTCGACTACAAAAATGAGTGAAAACAGCTGAAGACCGCAGAGGCCTCAGATAGTGCAGGGGAGAGTTAGCGTTTTACCACAGCGTTGAAGAACACGGACGGGGCATTAAAATCTGACGGAGCTGAGATGCAGTCTACCTGCAAGAACTTTTACACGCAGCGTTTTGCGCCAAAGTCACACATCCCAACCATCACCTCAATAGGCAGAAAGAAGTGCACTCCCGGTCCTCATAAGCGAAGTTTGTCATGTCGCACAACAAGTGAAGGAAGCGCCCAATATAGACGATCTGACAATTAAAAGGTCAAAGCAGCTGGTTAGACGCTTTTCAGGGCTAGACCGGAGAGGCTCAATTTGTACGTGGAAACGGAGGAGATATCGTCAAGTTGTAAGAAGTCCGAAGCAATCATGCTGTTCAAAAAGGGCGAGACGGAAGATTTGAAGAATTATCGCCCAATCTGTCTGCTCTCAAAAGTCTACAAACTGTTCACTATCATCATCACCAACTGATTGCCAACAAGTCTGAACGGACAGCCGCCGAAAAGACAGGCAGGATTGCGAATGAGCTGCAGTACAATGGATAGCATCTTTCCTTTAAGTCAACTTCACGAACGCGTGAGGGAATTCCTGCTGCCTCTGTGCATAGTTTTCGTCGGCTACAAGAAAGCTTTCGACACAGCCGAGTACAACGCAGTGTGTACTGCACTGGCAGAACAGGGCATCGACACCCTAAAGGAGGTGAACTGGCTGCTTCGCAAGCATCACGCCATTCGACACCCCCTGCGGCCGTTCAGAAGGGAGTGAATAGTGTGTCACCGTCTCCCCGAAACTATTCTCTGCCTGTTTGGAAATGATGTTCCGAAAGATTAACAACATTAAGTGTGGAACTAATATCAATGGTGAACACCTTAACGATCAAAGGTTCGCTGATGACATGGTGTTGTTTGCGGGAAAGAAACGCCAGTCAGCTGAAAGACCTTCTGCAAGAGCTCTGAAGGAAAAGTGGAGAAATCGTGCTACGAATCAATCGGCCAGAGACAAAGGTACTGCGATCGAATTCTTTGCTGAACGCCCAGGTAATGAGAAATGGCGAAAAGATCGAAGAAGCTGATAAATTCATTTACTTGGACCAGGAGATCAACATGTGGCATGATCAGACTGGAGAGATTCGACGGAGAAAGAGGGCCGGTAGGGGGCGTTCCGTCCTGCCGACAATGTTGCATGACTTAGACATGATCACTCACTAAAGCTGAAGGGATCAAGGTGTGTATCAGCGAGAGAGCCACGTGAAAAGTATCGGATTTCAGGAGTCTGCCGTCGCGACCACATCCCCAACACAGTGATCAGGCAGGTAACGAGAATGAAGGACGCCGTCGTCGAAAGTAGAAAGGATATGCTGCAGTGTGCATGTGGCTCAGCTCATGAATGGGAGATGGTCGACTGGTACCCCTACGAGTAGACTAAGTCGTTTGGTCGGTCACAGTGACGGGCGGGAAGAATATATCAAGAGCGAAGAATGCTGGACTTGGAGATAGAAATCTCGAAATAGCGAGGAATGGCCGGCGTGTTCCGATTACTGGCCGGTTCAAATGCTAACAGTGAATGTTGTCTGAAGATACATCCAGCTCGATCCAAAATGCAGGAATTTTGTTGAATAAAGCGTATGTGGTGTAAACACTTTCAAGAGTTTGCGTTGATGAACACTGATAACATTAGTTAATCGTTTCTCTGCTTTATTTGTTGAACACTTTCTTGTTTCTCTTAGTTTTCATATGACAATGTCTTGTTTAATTTCTAGTTAAAAATGCATACAAAATGTTTGCGACTCGTCCTGCTCTATTTATAATCGGTCTGTTTACTTAAAGCGAACGACAGCGACCCGAATATTGCTCAAAGCGCAAATGCTTTGTTTGACAACGTCTTCATGCGGAGCTGCCCCAGAGGAAGCGTGATGACAAATGGACTACCTTATCGAATGATTTTACCGCTACCTATCTTCGTTATCGCTGATAATTATTTTTTTATATTGAAGAAGAACAAAAACAAAGTTACCCAGTGTCAGCTTTTCCCCGGCATCTGGTGGCAGAGTGAAGCCCAGTAACGTCATCATCGAAATCAATATGCACGGAATAATGAGGTTGAAGCCGTAGTACAACGTCCTTCGCCTTATCCGAAAGGTGAATGTAACGTCGATGTACGGCTCTGGACAGCAGTCATATTTGAAGACGTGGCGCTTAACGGGTACTTCTGAAAGTAAGACTAATTTTACCATATATTTTGCTGTCATATAGGTAACCCATTAGGATCCATTCTCCGTTTTCGACGTACGTGCCCTTCTTCACTTCGCCTGCTACTAAATTTATGTGATATCCACTATAAGTCCAACTTCCAAATTTTAGCGAGCATTTCTGATCATCGAATGGAAACCAGGTAATGTCGATTTTGCAGCTGCTTTTAATTATTCCTGGAGGCAGCCAAGTCACGCGACCTTCGAAGTTTACAATTGCGTTCGTGTGGTAAGTCGAGTCAAATGCTTGGTCGGCACTATAAATGTTGCAAACTTCATTGTTATTATTTGCTAAATTTCGGACATTCATAGTCATTTACCTGTTATAAAGGAGTACGTCTGGTCGCCAAATACGTGTAATTGGTAAGCGCACCTTGTCCAGATTACCATACTCTTCCGGCTGCCATTGCAGAAACTTGTCATGCCATTCCTGTCCAAATGCATTCATTTATTTATTTGCAGTGGCCGAATCGGTTGCTAAGGTGTAGCTTTTAGCTTGCTAGCTATGTTTGACATACCGTTATTACAGAGGATAAATAAACACGGACAAGTTCACTGCTACTATCTCTCGAGAGACACTGAACTCTCCGACGAAATTTTCGGAAACTTAAAAACAACACAGGGTTTAAATGAGGGACTAAAGTATGCAGCCGAGGTGTTCTTCGGACATAATAAAAATCATCAGTTAACTGTTCTGAAGTTGAAAATAACAATTAAGGCACTACTCTAGAACGATATCACGAACTTACAATTTTTAATTATTTTATTGGCCTAATCTTTAGGGGGAACGTAAACTTTGTTCGTTTTCTAAACGGAGGCATGCATACCGCACTTAGTCACATACGCGTTGCTTTGATGTAAAAGCAGTTATAAAGAAGAATGCATGAACCTGCTCAACATATCTGATTATGCCCTTCACAGCCAAAATTCGGCGTTTCCGTCACCGACATTAGGCAACGGCAAAAATGAACATCAGACGGCATGGTGAGATATGATGAAGTAAACGTTTACTCCTTACGCGGACGGCAGTCGTGAAATTCTGTCATGCATGCCTTGATGCTGCATACTAACGAGATTATAGAATCAGAGGTTGACAGAGCTCCGTATGTTTTGAATACCGCAAGTTGTTTCGATCAATAGAAGAGGTAGACACCACAATCCATATCAATCCCTGAAGAATGCATGATTCGAAGATTCAGCATTTCGTTTGTGCTTTGGTGATCATACTGAAAACTGAGAATGCAGAAAACCCGGTTTTGTCATGCCCAACGCAAGCAAATTGGTCAATCTGATGATTAACCAGTACTCACTTATTGGCTCATATCTGACGAACTTTTTTCACAGTGGACAGGGTTGATCATTTTCGAAGTAGTTTAACATTACCGGTGGAGTTCGTCAATTCATGCTGCTCTCTTTCTCATTCAACATCATAGCGGATTGAGTTATGCCGTGGTGTTTCGTCCCAAGTAACAAAGAGGGACTGGCCATTAATCAGCGGCACAGCTCGATACATCCGGCGGTATTCCTAATGGACCTTGATTACGACGATGATGTCATGCTGCTGAGGGACTCCACCGTTGGCCTACGGACACCCACTGAAAGCGTGTCCAATGTGGCTGTAAGATGAGACCACAAGTGCACGTCAAAAATATGAAGATTATGAGAGCGTCAGAAGTCCAAGGATATTATGGAATTGCGATAAGATGAAAGAGGTTGACCGTTTCAATTAACTTTGGAACTGTGCTGACTAACGGTAGCGCCAGTGATTTTGCGGTAGATCGTCGTATCAGACTGGCATCAGCGAGTTATATCAGGCTGTATAACATATGGAAGGATCAAACTAAGAGAATGGACATGAAGATCATTCTGAAAGTAGCTGCATTAGCGGTGCTCATGTACAGCTTGAAGCATCTTACGCCCTGAAGTGTCATGAAGCTAGTTTAGACAGTGTCCAACAGCGCTGATTACGCATTATCCTCAAAATACAGTGGCACCACCAGGTTACAAACAATCAGGAGATGGCATCTACCGGTCTGAGGAAACTGTCAGATGATATCAGACACCGTAGCTTGATTTGATAAAAAGGCTCAGAAAGAGAATGGAAATATATTAAAAACTTTTTCTCTTGTCTTTGAAACAGCGCACTGGCGTAAACGCGTAGAGGACAATACAAAGCATGAAAAATCCTCATTGAGGCACTTGCTTTCGAACCGAAGTATCAGCTTTGTCACAGCGGTGAACTCTGCGTAATATCAATCTGAAGTACCTTTTCTAATGGTCAGACATATTTCGGAGCTACACTACTGTTTAAGCTCTGTTAACGTCAAATAACGGTGACAAAACAAGCAACAACAATTGTCCTCCAACGCGTCGACTTCCAGTTTATGGTTCAAATTGAAAAAACAAAATGGACAAAATTAACCTCTTTTTATCGCTTGCGCAGTAAAGCTATAAAATTATATATAATGAGGTTATAATAGACCTTAGATTCATGTCGTAGCTACCTCTCGCAATTGAGGTTGACGGTTGTTATTATTTCTGTCAACAGCGGTGAATTCTTTGTATGCGCACGGCTTCTGCTGTTAAAGATAGGCTACTGACAAGGCGCGACGTATTGACTAGAAGCGATCAACGCTATCCAATCGCAGATTCATTCAGTCAGTTATTGTGCGACACAAGTCTAAGCACCTAGTTGCTATTTTAGTCAACAGTCCGAGATTGTTATTTTCTTTGATTCTGTATTCTATTTTCTTGTTTGGGCTTTTTCTGCTCATTCTCAAATATAGGATCTTACGTTTGATGCTTTTTTTATGAATAAAGTTATCCATTTATCAGAAACTAATGAACAATTTGCATAGGACATACTTATGGCAGCTTAAATGCATCTGTAGCAATTATCGTCAAACGGGCGCAACGCGTGTCAAAAGAAATGCTGACTCAAGGCACAAAGGTTCACAGAGGTAACTCACAGAATGACGCTTTATAAGCATGGCAAAGACACCGCGAGTGTCCGACAAAGACCTGGTTGCAGCATCTACCCCCACAGTCCATCTGTAGTAAAGAACAACTCATCTACTCTATTTTTCAACGGACCTCGCTAGATAGGACATACTGTGGTTTATTTGTCTGACGAGGAATTAGATAGAAGAGACAAAAGCTTGCATTAGTACCATAAATTATTTTTGCCTGTTATACTTTGGTCTTCAATAATTTCGATTTCAGTTCAGTTAGAATATTAATTCTAGTTTACTGAAAAAAGGAAACACTGAATACTAAGAAAATTTTTCGAATATTAAGTACGCAACTGAATGAAAATTTACATTGCTCG